AGGTCAAATCTTTCCTTGGTTTAGCAGTATACTACAGAAAGTTCATCCCCAATTACGCCGAAGTCACTGCACTACTGATGAACCTGACCAAGAAAGGCCAACCCAACAAAGTGAAGTAGGAACAGCCATTGCAGATATCATTCTAGAAGTTTAAGAACATGTTAGAATGTTCGCCAATCATTAGAATGCCAGACTTCAACAAACTGTTCATTGTTCAGACTGATGCATCAGACATTAGAAGTGGAGCAGTATTTCTGCAAGAACATGAAGATGGACTATTTCCTGTAATGTATGTCAGTAAAAAGCTGTTGAATAGTGAGAAGAATTGCCCTGTTATTGAACAAGAGTGTATGGCCATCATATTTGCCATTCAGAAATTCCAGAACTACTTCTACAGGAAGGAGTTCTTCATCCAGACAGACCATCAGCCACTTGCATACATCCAGAAGTGCAAAACTGACAGTGTGAGGATCATTAGTTGGGTGTTGTACCTCCAGAACTACCAGATCTGCATTGAAGCCATCAAGAGAACTGCAGATGTTGAAGCAGACTGTATGAGTAGAATATGTGCATGAACTGAAAACAATCTTTATATATATATATGGTATAAAAATATTATAAATATTTTTCTTGAAGTAAGGCTTATTGTTAGGTATACATAACGTTTAATTTAAGCTCAGCACAAATGTTAAATTTAGTTATTTTTAGAAGTGATCGTTTATGGAAGGTTTTTTTTTTTACATAACTGTTGCAAATCATACATTGTGTAGTTAAATTGTCGTAAATTGGGGATTGTTGTATTATTGCATTATATTACCAGAACCTTTGAACTTTTTCGAGTATTATTGTATCATAATACCTCATAGTGTGTGGAAAATTCTAGCTCTCGGTTGGGCTATCTATAAATATGCATACAAAATGTAGTTTAAGTAAAACAAATATATAAATTTAGTTAGTTAAATAGATAGCTAGAGCTAGATTGTGTGTTTGTTAGTTTAGCCTTAAAGAGTGTATTGTGGCACTTTTTAAAAGTTAAATTACCGCAGATTGTATTGTAAGAACAAAGTAGAGAAGAATAATTCGTCTTGTCAATTGTGTTCTAAAGTAATTGAACTAACCTATGTATACTTTGACGAAAAGAGACAATTATTTAAAGCTTTGAATACAACTATGGTAACCAACAGTGTAATGTAAGTGAAATTATCACCAACTGTACTGTAACAACAGAGTAGATGAGAATAAATCAACTTGTGAATTGTGTTCTAAAGTGACAAACCAGCCTGTGTGAACTCTGATGAAAGAGACAACTGTGGTGATTAACTGTATATCATTTTAAAACAAGTGGACCGTGTGCTGTTTGTTTATTGTTGAAATTTATGGCCAATATGTCACAGACATCTACTGTAAAGAATCATGTCCACATATATATAAAACAAACCTGGCAGCATTAAAGGAACACCCTAGGCAATATCACATGTTGCATACTGGCTAAACAAATAAAATTTAAAGTCAGTTTCTAATAATTCATCAAATGCACTGGCCCACCAGGCAATTGCCCGGTGTCCTGGTGGGACAATCTGCCCCTAGAAGCCACCCAACCTACAATTATGACTCTAACTATTTTTTAAGCACAATGTATAATTCATTAGTATGAACTCTCAGTTCATGAGAGTTGCCCCCCAGTAGCACAGCGGTATGTCTGCGGACTTACAACGCTAGAATCCGGGTTTCGATACCCGTGGTGGGCAGAGCACAGATAGCCCATTGTGTAGCTTTGTGCTTAACTTAAAAACAAACAAACAAATCATGAGAGTTTTTGGGTGACTGACTACAAGGAATATAAAGCACCTAAAAAGCCTTAAAATTATTTGTTCCACCAGTTCCAGTCTGTCATTGAGGCAAACCAAACATCACACTAGTGATGTCCTTTGATATGATTTCCCATATAGTGCATCACATTATTATTTACTGTATTCCCACCACCTTATGCCGTTATTTTAGTTTTATAGTGCTTTTTATCTTTATAGTAATTAGTTAACAATTCTTATAACTATTATCCCACTTAAGTCTTTCATGTACTTTACACACCTCTTTGGCACAAATTAAACATGACACATACAACTCTAGTTCATGGTGAATTAATCCATCACCACACAAATGTACTTGTTTCAGCACGAGTTTGAGGCAAAAGACCAGCAATGTCAACAGCTACTCT